ATATGTATACATATACATATATATGTATGTATATGTATATATTTATATGTATACATATACATATATACATATACATACATACATGTAAATGAACATATACATACCTACACTAACGCATCAGGCCGAAATCCACATTTACACCCTCATACATCGGCACTTAGAGTACTGCGACACCCCCCCACCCAAAAAAAAATCATCAGTTAAGTTAAACTTAAAAGTAAAAACAACTTAAGTTTTAAATTATCAATTAAAAATTTTTAAAATACAAAAAAAATATTGTCCAAGGGATTCAGTTCAATTCTAGTGCATATTATAATATCTTCCTCATAAATTTGTTTATTATGTTTATGGTACAGAGGCCATAACAGTAGTGGGATCAGTTCTACAGGGACCCTGGCACCTGCTAGACCTGCCCATAATGTCAGATAACCTGAGCTGGATTAGTATGGTGTTAAATTGCTCCCAACAATTAGGAGAGCGAATTAAGGAATCACAATAGTGCAATTATTCTAATTTCTTAATTCTAATTTTTGGCAGCAATTTAACACCATAATTTGGTAGAACTGGTGGTGAACTGGGACCTGTATGTTTGGTTCCATTAGGGGCGTCAGCAGACCCTTTTCACAGAGGCACGTGCCCTGTTGTGGATCTGCAGTGCCTGGGTATACCTGGGGCACTGAATTTTTAATTCATTAATTTTCCTCTCTCAAAGCTCCGCACACACCAGTCCACCCTCACAGTGGAATTGAGAGAGGAGAACTGTCCAAATTAGGCCGGTCACAATTGATCGACAGCTCCGCAAAAATGAAGCCGAGACGCTACCATTTACTGTTAAAAAAAAAATGAACATCCAGCTCTCCCATCTATCTGGCCATGATATACACACCTCATAGGATCATCACCATCATGGATGGGCCGAAATAGAAATGATAAACACAGACATGTATATAGAGGTGTTTTTAGTTTTTTGTTTTTCTTTTCACAGTTGCACGTTTCAAGTTTTCCGTTTTCAAGTTCATGTTTGCTGACAGATATTTAATGAAGATAAGTTGTGCCTTCATCAGTAGTGGATTAGAGATATACAGTTAACCCTTTATAGCACACTCAGTGAAATACAATAGTGTTATGAGAATCCAGTAGAAGACCTTATTAGTTTTGTACATTTAAAAAATATGGATATTTTGACTGCAAAAATCAATGTCAATGTAATAACAAATGTCAACTTGAACTAGCTATATGTGTATATATATATATATATTTTATCTCTTTTTATTCTTATTTTTTATCTTTATTATATTGTATAGTTGGATGTGTGTATATGTCATGTAGAACTGTAACTAGAGTGTGTAATAATTTCCCTCTGGGATTATTAAAGTATTTCTGATTCTGAACTTGCCCAAATGTATTAAGATAAAATCACAAAAGTGCTTCTATATCAAATTCATGAAAAACACTCAGAGTAAAAGAAACACATTTTTTGGTCCAACATAACCTTAGAATCATTCATGCTGATACTGCCACTTGTTAATTAGGCTTATAAACTTTTTAACTTCATTTTTCAACTTTAAGCTTTTTACATTTTTTCTTGACTTAGTAACCTTTTTCCCCAACTTAATTTACAGTAGGTAATGTACAGAAGGATAAGAGCCTCTGAAAAAAATGAAAAAGTTCACTTATTTTTACATTTTATTTCAGTATGAGAAAAAAGTATTTTTTCTCACAATTCTGACTTTAATCTCAGGATTCTAAATTTAATCTTAGAATTCTGCCTTTTTTT